ACACACACACACACACACACACACACACACACACACACACACACACAAAAAAAAAAAATCCATGTAGGGGTTCCCCTAATGGCCCCGGGGTCTTAAGCAGCCGCTTGGTTTGCTTATGCCTGGGGCCGGCCCTGCATGTAATAGTTTGGCATGCAAAAATGACGCATCCCTTTTTTATTATTTATGATATAACTCTGCTTGTTTTCCAGATTAACAGTCTGCAACAGTCATGTTCCTCCAGAAACCATATTTTAATCCTCAGACACATATTTTGACAGTTAAAATTCAGCTCACACGTTAGTGCATTTATGTCAAAGTTACATCCGACTCACTTTCTTTTAGGAATAACACACAGGTGACAAGTAAAAACTTATTGTCTCCTTGTTTTATTCTTAAAATAGTCTTAGATTAGCTAAACTTCGCAGCTGGTTTTAATGTTGCACAACCGCTGCAGAGCAGCTTTGATGGTAAATAAAATTTATTGCTTTTTGAATACCACTACTATAAATACTGGAACAGGATGCAGGACTTACTTGGCAGCTTCATTAAAGTGCTTGTCATGAAATTTGAATTTAATTAATACTTTCAAAATGCCATAAATTTTAAGGATAGAGTGCAAACCCTCCTGAATAAGAACGTTTGAAAAAAGCTGTTGAACAGAGTTTGATTTACGCCACTTTATGTGCAGAGAGGAAACTGACACGGAGCTGCTGGCTGGACATATAGAACTGTTTACAGTCGAGTTTTGTAACAGCAGGAAGAGTCGAGCCAAGTTTCCAGAGCTGGCCGAGACCAAAAACAGACCCCAGTCATAACGGACGCGACGTGTTGAGTTCAACAAGTCACACAGACTTTATACGACTTCATGACGCACTGTGGTGGTTTCCAAAAGGCTCGGAGTGAGTCTCGGGCCGCGCTTCGTCCTCCTCCATTCGTGACGTGACTTGTCTCCGATTCTGCAGCCGTGTGAATATTTCATGCAGGAGGGGGCAAAAGACTGCCAGGCCCACTCTGGGCTGGTAGGAAACAGGGATGTTGGACCTGGAGCAGTTTTTAGAGAACTCAACCTGTAATCAGGCCAAACAAAAGTGTCCAAGGAACCAAAGGAGGTAAAAATAAACCCTGGTAGTTCCCTTTCTGGACCAGCAGAGGTGAACATGTATGGGTTCTGCTGCTGCTGATACCTTTTTATTTAACACAACTAAACTTGTGGATATTTTTAATATTTAGTTACTTGGATAAATTGTGAATTCAATTACTAACGGGAGAAATTGCATTTCCTGCAGAAATGCAGTGTAAATGCTTATTGCTGAAGAACTTGCTGAAATTAGCTAAAAAAATGTTGAATTGTAGCTGAAATGAAAGAACAAGCCTTAATTAGCAGAAGAAAGCTGAACATTTTTTTAGCTGAATTAGGTTTAGCTAGCAAAAATGAGCACACAAGTTTGGAAATGAGCTTAAATAAAGCAGAAATTAGCTAAAAAAAAATAGCTGAAAAGGCAGAAAGAAACTTACCAGAAGGAAGTGGAAAGAGCTAAAATTAGTAAAACATGTGGAATTGAAAGGAGCATAACAAGCTGAAATTACCATAAAGAAGTTAATTACCGATAGGTTGAAAGTAGCAAAAAATTACCATGAAAACCTTGAATTTATCTGAAAACGGCTGAAACGAGAGAGAGAGAGAGAAAAAAAGCTAAAAATGTAGCCGAAAAGGTAGAAGAAGCTTAAGTTAGCAGAAGATAGCAGAAAGAGCTCATTGGCCCAATTAGGCTAAAAGAAGCTGAAATGAGCACAAAAAAGTGGAAATTATCTGAAAAAGGCTGAAATTAGCATAAAAGAGCTAAATAGTAGCTGGAATAGCAGAAAAAGCTTAAATGTGCAGAGATAAGTTGAATGGAGCATAACAAGATGAAATTAAAAAGTTAGAAGAAGCACAAAATGTTGTAGTTAGCAGAAAGAATCTGAAAGTAGCACAAAGCAGCTGAAAGTAGCTGAAAGTAGCTGAAAAACGTTTTAAATTGGCACAAGGAGGCTGAAAGAAGCTGAAGCAGAACAAAATGTAAAATGAGCAGTAAAAGGTTGTAAACAGATCTAAAGATGTGAAGGATGTAAAATGAGCTCAATTAATTTTCCCAGGAAAAAATGTCAGAAAAGGCTAAATATTTCAAAAAGCTAAAGTTGTACCAATACCAAAAGTCATAGGATTGTCCTGAAACAGCTGAACGTTTTGATTTATGATTGACATGGCTTGAAAACTGCAGGATGAGAAATGCGCCGAACAACACGCGGAAGAAAAATGGATCACAACGAATGCTTCATAAAGATTCACACGATAAAAAACCACCAGTTCAGTTTTCCACAAACATATTGAAACATTGTTGAAATCATAAAAATGAGACAAGTGCATTCAGAAACTTCCTTTTTTACACAGCTTTATAAACTTGCGTGCATATTTAAGGAACTCAAGTGGTTTATAGGAACTCTATTTACGTCTGTACTTTAAAGAGTTTAAAGGTTTTGAGCTCTCACACAGTTCTATGTGTGCAAAACAGAATTTAGAAAACGGTCTCCATCAGTGCTGCAACTGGCCCAGCATGTATTACAAAATAAATGCAAACTGTCGATGATTTTACGTCCTTTATTTGAATGCATGGCGGTGTAATATTGTTGCAATAAGAGCTTTAATTGTGCAGATTTGGTCACGGGAGGGAGGCAGTGGAAGAAATGTGCTTCAAACCTTGCAGACTCCGAGCACTTTTGGTTTTGTTTTGGAGACAGATTCATGTAGAGGGGTCAGCTGGGTCATTTGTAATCCAGAGTGACCTCATTAACCCAAAGAACAGCGAGTCGTATGTACAAAACACTGCTGGGGTCTTTTTAAATAACTTCTATTTGTTTTCGGCACAGTTTGTAGACCAGGACTTGCTTTCTGTCAGAGGGGAGCTCCTGTGCAGGTGTCAAAATACAACTCTTCCTGCAACAAACTTGCTCAAGGTTTGAGATAAAATATTCAAACCACACGAACACGAGCCTCCGCTACTCGGGCGAGGAAATTGAGAACCCCCGCAGATGTTGTGAGACTCTCTCGCAGACAGTGTTTGCCAACCGGTTGCCAGCTGTTGCAGCCCAGCGAGATAAGGTGGTGCATCCTGTTCGATGTCCAGATGACGCTCCGTTCAGCTGCAGATGGGTGTGGACGGCGAGCTTCGAGCTGCAGCTGAGAGGATAACGTTTGCATATCGGTCTCTGGGCGCTGAGTCAGCTTCTCTGTTCTGTTGTGCGTAAACAAGGACAACTATGAACCGGGAGGGGTGTTCATGTCATTTACAAAAGAGCTCCAAACTTTTAACAAGGAGCACATTTACATGCTTCCAAAGTGTGAGGTAAAAAAAAAAAAACGTAATTGATGGAAGTGTTGAGGACTTAAACTTCTATGTGTGGGTGTTTGGTGAGGTAATGTTTTAGGGTCTGATGAAGATTAAATATATCGTATTTGTCAACTATATTTGACTTTAGGTGAAAATAGCATCTCCCTGAATAGAACTGGATCCAAACAATATGCGTAGACTGCAAAGTTGTGTTTGTTTCAGATTATGTTTCCACATCACAACTTCCTGTTTCTCATGTAATCATTAGAAACTCGTGCCTGATAAAAATGCACATATCCCCTAATCTGCAAACAATCTTTTAGTTATAGTTAGTTTGGTTGCATTTCAGTGCAAGATTTGGACAGATGAGTTACGTGCCAAAGAATGCACGGTGGTTAGCTCTAATGCTTTTAGTGGAGGAAATAAAAACCAGGTTGCTTTCAGTCTCAGGCAGGTTTATCAGCAAACAGAAGTGTTTACGCTCGAAAACAGAAACCTTAGTGCAGGTTGTGGTTTTAGTTGGGCGTGCACTGCTGTAGTAGGCTGTCTAATCTAATGGCATTCACTTGTTCTGCACTGCCACCTGCTGGCAGCTTGGTGCAGTTTGTTTTAAATCAAGACAAAAAGCGAGTTTAATTGAATAAATTTTAAAAAAAAATGTTAGATTTTAAAAATATATTTTCTTTTACAATAATACATAACAAGCATTTTAGATCGGAGCAACTGGAAAACAGATGTGTGAAGTGAAAACGACCCACGAGTGATTTAAAAAAAAAAAAGATTTTAATGAACCAATCTGTAAAATATTAACATGAACTGTTTGTCTGTGCAGCTGAAGCCTGTTCCGCTCAGTGTGCTGACGTCCTCTCTGCATCCTCCATCAATCCTGATGATGATAAAGAGGAGGAAGAGGAGGACCTGGTGATGATCCCCTCTCCTATAGCCAGCCCTGCTATACGCTACCCCTCCTGCACCTCCCTCAACTCCACAGCTGACACCGACCCAGACGGCGGGGCAGAGGAGGACGAAGACGTGGATGATGAGGAGGGCGGCTTCCAGGATCTGGAGGGCTGCTCGATGGAAGAGAGCTGGTTCATCACCCCTCCGCCCTGCTTCACTGGCCACAGCAACCAACCAATCCTCCTGGAAACCAGCCCCCTGGAGAACCTGTTGATCGAACACCCCAGCATGTCCGTCTACGCCCATCACATCCCCCCGCGACTGGCTCTCGACCCCCTCCCACGACGCTCGATGCTCCAACCAGAACTGGACTTTTTGTCTACCAACCTGACGGCCTCAGGAGGAAAGGACAAGACGAGACTCATAGAAGGAGCTCGGCACAGGTAACGCCCGAACCTTATCATGTTTGCTTCAGTACAGAGCCTGCCTTCATCTGAGCATAATCAAGTAAATTATGTTTTACCACTTTGATTTTCTTATAGTTGCAAATTTTACATTTGAATTTTAAAGAAAATCTTTAGGGATAAGGTGCCTGATGCGGCCAAACCTCTGTTTCTAATTTATAGACAGAAGATGCTGGTAATGCTCAATTATTAGATGTAAGATAAATGTCATTATCACCTGCCATCAAAAGCTGAAGATGATAATGTTTTCTGCCTGTGTCTTTCTGACTGTTAGCAAAATAATTAATGAAACAACAATGGAGTCAACCTGATTCAAACTGGCTGCCATTGCAACATCCCGTAATAAACGCTAAAGTGGTGAAAACAGTAGATTTTACAGTTATTGTCAACACTTTGGGAGTGGAAGTATCCACAGTTGATCCCAACACACACCCTGAAGTGCTAACTGAAGATCTTGGTGTTGCCATCAACTATTACGAGTCAACTTTATCTGTTACCAAAACATCTCATTAATCGCTGGATGGATTTGATTTAAACTTTCAGGAAATAATCATAGGCTGTGCATCTTCTTGAGCAGGGTTATTCAACTAAATTGCTCAGGAGGCCACAGTGACTGAAAGCTAAGAGCTCAGGGGTCGGACATCCAGCAGTCATTGTCATTAAGTAAATTTGTTTTACATTTTAAAATCTAGTTTTATTTAAAATTAACCCATTGGTGGGCCAAATTGATCTCACCCGTGGGCCTGATTTGGCCCCTGGGCCACTAGTTGAATAGTCCTCTTCTAGAGCCAACTCAATTTAAGATGGCTGCCACGTCCAACTGAACATCTGAAACACAGGGCTGGCTATAATTCAGTCATTCTGACAAATATTGAGCTAATGGGATATGACTGTAGCTGACTGGCGATAAAACTAAAACAGCAACTGCAAAAACTCTCATAAATCAAATCCTGTTAAAATAACAATATGCTGTAAAATATCGTTTTATTTGTATAACCATGAAATTAAATACAAATAGTCCGAAGTGTATTAATAGTTCAGCGTGTTGCCGTGACAGTCTCGTATATTTTTGTTGATGTTGTAATTAAATTTACACTCCTCTAATCTGCTGTGGTTGTATCTGTGCTGCCCCCTGCAGGCCGGAGGTGTCAGTTGTGCAGCACCGCTCCAGCCTCCACTCCACCTGCTACACCGCAGCGCTCTCTGATCCCACCCGCCTTCTGCAGCAGCGAGCAGGTAACGCCACCCAACGCGCCCAGTCCCTGTCCCGTAAGGCCCTGCGCCGCCTCAACCTGCTGCGACCCCCGAAGCCTGGCATCGTGCACCTGCACCAACCCACCCAGAGGCACCTCAACTTCTGAAAGGTCCTGATTTTACCGTCATCATCATCATCACCCTCAGCACAGATTGGGAATTGTAACACTGGCCTTTCACAAACACTCACCTCGTGCTCTCGATTTATCAAGAAACAAACACCAGCAGCCAGATCATCCGCCACAGACGACCGTCCAGATCTGTCCCGAACAGGAACTGTGGCTTTTTTTTTCTTCTGTATCAGGTTTAAAGGCCAGTGAACATTATCATCCTGCCTTTCATCCATCCTTTCTTTTAAAATTTGCTACGAAGAAGGGATGCGAAAAAAAGTAATGATGTACACCCACTCCCTCTTTATGTCCAATCACAGAGTAAGACGTGTCATGTGACTCATGACCTCTCACTCGTACCTTTTCTTTAGTTGTTCCGTACCAACGTGTTAGAATCGACGCTGTAGGTCACTTTATTCAGAGGCAGGTTCATGGCGCAGCAGGACGGTCCAGTGGTGTCATTTCAGATTGATGGTTGTCTAACTGAGCAGCTTGATAAGGCAGTTGAGGCGTTATTACTTTGAATATGAACAGAAAAAACTGTGGAAGGTGCTTCAGCTTCCTCAGTGCAGGACTGTCGTGACGAAGGCTTTAAGCTTTAGAAAAGTGCCAATATCTGCTGGTTGGACATGCGTGGTGCTGTAGGTGGAAATCAAAATCTTAAAAGAGAGGAGCTTGCCTTTAATCTTCAGACAATAATCATTGTTCATTTTGCTTTTTGTTTTGGACGAGTTCATGCATTTCACAAAAGGGCGGGGTACGTTTACGGTTTAAGATGTTAAAAGGACAGCTTTTCATGTCTGAAACACTTTTAAAGTGCAATACTCTGCCTCGCTGCCCAACATCAATCCAGATGTTCAGATGCTGCATCACAAGCGTTCCCGTGAGACTAGAGGCCGTACAAACTGAAAAACAGGAGTTTAGACAGAATTGGACACTCTGCTCTTTCAGTTTAAACACGTTTCTGCTTTTCAACAGTCACGTATCATGATTTTTTTTTACAGATCGCTTTTTCTTTTAAATTGACCTCAGGATTTCTTATAAATCTGAAACTAGGGATGCACGATATTGGATTTTTGTCCGATATCCAATATGTTAAAACTTATTTAGCCAATAACCGATACCAATACCGATATTTTTTCCCCTAGACCTACTTCCAGAGACTACACAGCTTTCTCTGCTGTGGGATTAAAATTTTACATTATTCTGCACAGTCTTTGTCAGTTTGGCCTGCTACCAAATGCAGATGACAAAAAGGGGGCTGAAAATGATGTAACACTACAACTTGGATTATGTTTAATGTCAAATTTATTCATGACATTTACTCTCTCTAACACAGTGACAACACTTGAACAGTGCAAATTTGCAAATTTTCACAAATCTAAACTCAACGGAACGCGTGATGTCATGTCGTTGTGCTGGCGCTGCAGGCGTCCTTGTCACTGGGTTGTCATAGAAAAACACCTTTTTTTTTATCGGTGAGTTATTTTGATGGAATGGTCGATGTCCGCTACTTAACTTCATCGCTAATATCTGCCGATACCGATAATATTGTGCATTCCTATCTGAACCCACGATGGTTATAAAAAAACAACAACCCAACAATGCATAATTAACGTACCTATGCTAGAATAGTTTTAAGAATGTAACTCCTTAATGTCCCATGTTTTGAGATCTTCAGCACTACTGTTTTGCGCACCCTCTGCAGCACTGACTGAACCTGCTTCTGACGTTATGATTCAATACTTTTCACCTTTTTAAACAGTGTAAAAGACTAAAAATAATGGGTTGAATATCACTAAATGCCTTGTTTGAACAGTAGCTGTTAGAAGAATAGAAATTTCACAAAAATGTATTTAAAAATAAACAAACTTCCAAAATACTTTTTTTTTTTTTTTTTTTTTTGTAAAGGAAAAAACAACAACAACAAAGTACATATCAGTATGAAGTTGTACGCATCTATAACTTGTTGCTTTGGTATGTGTGGTCATGGTTGTGTGCAGTTTGTTGCATGGTTTGTAGAGTTGTGTTCGCGTTACGACGTTGGAAAAAAAAAATGTCTTTTTTGTGCGTTTCAAAATGAATCTGCAGTCCACTTCTCAGGGTCGCAACCAATCACCTTTACACTTTAGAAAAATGCAGATTTACTTGACGGCTGATGATTTTATTTTTTCTTCTTGTTTCTGTTTGTAATGTTCACGCTCAGACTTTTCCAGCTCCCTCTCTGCGAGCTCTTCCTCGTGAAAATGTGAGAATGACTCGTTTTCAGTCCGAGGACTGGGGAAATTGAACCGTCTCAATTGTTGGGAATCTTTTTTGAAGACGCAGAAGAACTGTTGGTCTTTTTCATAAACGTAATATTTATATATTTTTCTTCTCTCATGTGTACGTAACATTGTTTTAGGGATGTACTTAATGCTAATACTTTTTCAACTGTTCTAGTTTCCATGCTAAGATAGTTACATTTTTGTTAGTTATATTTAAACAAAAATAAATAATAAGTTGTAGCCTTTTTTTCTAGTTTATAAAATGATTATTTTTGTGTTTAAGAGTTCTTGGCCTCGTTGCTCCGAACCCTCGGAACACTTTCCTTGTTTTACTTTGTCTTCTGAAAGCTGAGGCAAATAAATATTCAGAATAATGTCAAGTTTTGGCGACATTTTGCTTCGAATATTGAGAAAAATATTGTTTCATCTACATTTGACATTTGCGTGTTTTTAGTTTGTTGAAAATGTAACAAACTAACTTTGCTGGCTTTTATTTTGAAAGAAAATAACTTCAAACTATAATTTCCAGTGTTCTGGACAAGGGCTCTGACTTAACCGTTTTTGATTTACTTAAAGCAAAATGTTATTTGAATGTAGTTCAAATGAAGAATGTCAAAAATAAAGTCAGTCAGATTAAAAACACATTTTGAGGCTCAGAAATCAACCGACAACTTCAAAATAAAACCTTTTTGTAGCGTGGACTTTACGGTTTAGTTCATGTTGATGAAACTGTAGCATGGATAAAAGAAAAAAGTGGTTTTTACTTGTATGTACGGTTTGCTGTAAATAACGCAATGGTTGAGTTGGCCTTTAGTGTATTTAAGCTTTTTGTTTTATTCTCAACTGTAATAACTGATGATGTTTTATGTTACAATGTTTGAGAAGAGATGTGTGTTCGAGGCTCCTCCTGCCGGCAGGAGCTTTAAAAGTTTAGTGTTTCTTTCTGTTCTCAGCTTTCATCATCAATCAAACAGGGATTTCTAGAGTTTATGTTCAATGCCTTGAAATCTGTGGATCACGTGCCTTCCAGGTTAAACTGTAATGACAATGCATCGATGAAGAACTTGAACTTTTTCTCCCTCTCTCTTTTGTTTTTAATGTTTCAATCAAACGTAAAGGGATTAAAAATATACACATGAGACGTCAGAAACGAACTATGCATCGCTCGGAAGAAGCTTCTTCACTTTCGCCGCCGCCGTCCGCCCAGCCTGAGAACAGCTTTTCTAATGACTCGACAAACCAGACAGAACGATGTAGCAAAACCTCTTCTTTTTATTTGAACGTGTGACGATTACTGTGTGGCATTCATATTTTCTTTGTTTCACCAAGTGTTAGACATTTGTGTTTTTGTGTAGTTTACTGGAAAAATACAGCACTTTGCCAAAAAGAGGGGGGGAAAAAGTGTAATTTTAGGATTAACTTTGTTAACGTTTGTCTGTTTTGCTTGTTTGTATATTGGATGTATAACAAATTGATTAACACTGTTTGGATGTCAGAAACAAGAGCAAAAAATGATGTTGATGAAAGAGCGGGGTCATCTGTTTTCGAACTGTAATAGTTATTACATGTGATCTCTTATTAGCCTTTAATAAATGGTTTCATACACAAAGTCCTGTCTATTTTCTGTGCTGTCATTTATAATGCAGGTGTTTATAATAATAATCATTTTATTTAAAAAGCGCCTTTCTTGACACCCAAGGACACTTTACAGTAAGAACAAAGATCAACAGGAATAAATTACATACAGAATATAAAATACATACAGAATATAAAATACAGCAAAGTTAAGGATAAGTGAGTCTAAAGAGATGTGTTTTCAGAGCAGTCTTGAATATAGAAAGAGAGGTGGTGTTTCTTAAGTCAGGGGGTAGAGAGTTCCAGAGATGAGGGGCAGAGCAGGTGAAGGCCCTGCTCCCCATGGTGGAGAGGCGGGCAGAGGGTTCATGGAGGTGTAGTGAAGAGGAGGATCTGAGAGAGCGAGAGGGGATGGAGATGTGTAGGAGGTCAGATAGGTACGGAGGGGCAAGGTTGTGGATAGCTTTGAAAGTGAGAAGAAGAATTTTGAAGACGATGTGTGATTTAACCGGGAGCCAGTGGAGCTGCTGCAGGACTGGAGTGATGTGGTTATAGGAGGAGGTTTGAGTGATGACACGGGCAGCTGAGTTCTGGACCAATTGCAGCTTCTGGAGAGATTTGTTGGGGAGGCCATAAAGAAGGGAGTTGCAGTAGTCAATCCGAGAAGTCACAAGACAGTGAACAAGGATGGCTGTGGAGCGGGGTGTGAGAGAAGGGCGGAGACGGTTAATATTTCGGAGATGGAAATAGGCAGACCAAGTGACAGTGTTGATGTGTGAAGTGAAGGAGAGAGTGGTGTCGAGGATGACACCAAGACTCTTGAACTGAGGCGAGGGGGATAGCAGAGAGTTGTTAAGGGGGATGAGAAGATTATCTGATTTTGAGAGAGTTTTTGGTACAGACAAGAATGATTTCTGTTTTGTTACTGTTTAGTTGTAGAAAATTGTTAGAAAACCAGTGATTTAGCTCATTGAGACAGTCGGTGAGGATGGAGGGTGGGTGGGTGGAGTTTGGTTTTGTTGATAGGTAGAGCTGTGTGTCATCAGCATAACAGTGAAAATGGACACCAAATTTACGGAAGATGTGACCTAGAGGAAGGAGGTAATTGATGAAGAGGAGGGGTCCGAGGACAGAGCCTTAGGGGACACCCGTGGAGACGGGGGAAGACTGGGAACGAAAGGATTTGAGCTGAATGAATTGAGTGCGGTCAGAGAGATATGATTTGAACCAGTCTAACGGAGTACCCGAGATGCCAATGGAGGTTAGTCTGTTGAGGAGGATAGAATGACAGATTGTGTCGAAGGCAGAACTTAGATCCAGAATTATGCTGTGAAATAACAGAAATACAACCTGCAATTACCTAATTATAACTAGAAAAGATGGCAAAATGGGTAAAAACTACCAGAATGCTATTGTCATTACTTATTTTTATTATGCGTTTCTTTGAAAGGCTAAACAGTGACAATGTTTTAATTGCTACTGTCTGGAGATGTTGTTTCTAGAGTTAGCAAAATATCTCATTAACCAGTGGATAGGTTTTATGAACAGCTGCAACTGATTATGAACTGAAATCTGTTCAGTTTTGCATAAAAAGTGCTAAAACCGGGTGTGGTTGTAACTGAGAGTCGTTCCCAAAAGCTTTGCCTCACACTATTGATGTTAGCTGTGTCTGTCGTTAATGAAATATTTCATAAACCAATGGACAGATTACGGTGAGACTAAAAAAGTAGTCCTTGGTTGTGCATCTAAAACCTGTTAACATTTGCAACCCAATTCAAGATGGCTACCACAGCTAACCCAAAACAAAACATGACAATAAGTCAGTAAATGTTATAGATAACTATAATAGATAATAGCTAATAGTCATTAATAACACTAACTCTGAGTACTAATACATCTGTCCCATGAAATCATGGAAAACAACACAAGAATCCACTTCTATGTTCTTCAGTTTTTGCTGAGAGGTAGATATATTTGTAGTAAATCTTTAAATTATGTTTATCAAACAAAACCCCAAAGAGAAGTTCATCTTTTTTTTTTTTTGTTTGTTGGTTAAAAGCTGAACTTAATGCTCATCTGAGCAGCTGGCTTCCCTGCAGCTGTTTGACAGCACCTCCCACGTGCTCGCTGTGTTTACATTTTCGAACTCGGCACGCGGTTTACAGCCCGACCCTCTCATTGGCTCGACGTCACAGACGCCACGCCCACAGGCGGGATCCGTACCCGGAAGAAGTTACGGTATCGTTTTAAGAATCAACTAAATCTCCATAGAACAACTGTGCGCACGAGGGTTTTTCATGTGTAGTGATTCCCAAACGTGTCTCGAATCGTTAAAACTCAGCCGCAAAGTACGGAAACGGTTGTTTACGTCGCAGACCGTTGATGCGACTCGGTGTCCGTTAGAAATGAATGCAGATTTAGCTAAACCGCCCAGAATACCCCGCTGATCGGCGCCGATCGCTTACAGCAACTTACTAAAAAGCGGAGTCGCGTAAATTAGCTTCGTTCGATCCGCTCCGTGAGGGCCATTTCTGCTAATCGCCGCTCGGATTTGAACATTTAGCGCGTTTATGTTAACCGGGAACGAGCATGCGCAGTGGCGCCCGCAGGCAGACGCGGATATAAGGATTGGCGCCACAGCTGATGCAGTCATTCATTCTTCATAGAAGAGGTAAGACAGACCTGCTGCTGACAGCCGCAACAGATAGATGTTTTTAAATCCGTTTTTAATCTTCCTGCCGTCTTCATCGCGACCTTTCCTTTGTTTTAAATCATATTTGTACTAAGGAAGTTTGTACAATTGTGTTATATTGATGGGGGGGGAAAGATACTATCTGTAGCTTTGACTCAGACTAAACTTAACTTTTACACAAGCAGAACAATCTGCCACACTTCTGTGTGACTTTATGTTTTTATCCTGACCGTGTGTTTTGGTCGATAACTGTAACATCGAGCTGTTTGTGCAAACATCCGGGCTTTAAATCGTGATCAACTTGATCCAACTGCGCCTAAATCAACCTGGTACCAACTTCAGATGCGTTTGCGTGCTAATACTGTACGTGACCAGTTGATCTGTAAGTTGGGGTGGAGGGTTAACCAGTTACTGATGACCTAGTTAGCAGTAACCGGGCTCGGTTTGCTAATCCCAGTAGCTCCGCTCCTCACGTCAGCTTCGCTTTAGTCCCAGTTTAATCGACTTTAATGGCGCCTGGCGGTCTTGGAAACAGTCCTCACTGACTTATGTGGTGTTTGAGGGCATATCCCAGCAGTTTATACCAGTTTGAAGTCGGTGTGGCTCGTGTGGTACTGGTTTTCCCTCGCAGGCTGAGCTCGTGAGAGGCTGGACTCGAATCCTCCCGCTTCTTGCGTTGTGGAAATTGGCGCGTCTTTGAGTTTCAAACGTCAATAAAAGCTCGAAATGGGTCGATTTCAAAGATCCCGAGCGCGCCCGAGACGATCGCAGACGTGCGGCTCGTGGCTCGAGTCGATCATTTAGAGCTGCGTTGTTGTATTTTATAAGTTTTTTTTGTCTGAAGCCGAGCGAGAGCTTCTTCGCCCCCCTTTTCCCTCCGAGGCTGCAGCTGCCGTCGTAGCAGCTCGCACAACTTGACGGATAGTTTCGATCATATTTATCGCTTTGACAAACTTTGACTCCTCTTGTTGCTGGAGAGGAGATCGATGTTCGCATGTGCTCGTTCAGCTCGGGTTCAAGTTTGCTGTGGGTTTTCTCGAGGGGCTTTTTTTGTGTGCCTGGAATGGGGACAAGCTAACGCTAGTCCCAGTTTCATAGATGAGATCTTCAGCTTGAAGTGATGAAAAAGCTTCACCTACAGGAGGATCTTGATCACATTATTCTAGTTGGGTTTTTTTTTTAGCCACTTTTTTTTCAAGGTAACATGTGCACTCCTAGATTTCAACTTAACATTAGCTCATTTTTATTCATACAAGCTCATAAATAGCACTCTGGTGTTTTTAAGTGTAACACTTTCTAAAGCTGAGCACCGTTTTTTTATTAATTGTTCTTTGTTTATTTGCAGGGGCTGTAATTAAAGTTGGCACCATGTCCAGACGCAGGTAAGCAGAAGCGCTTTAATGGGCCTTTGCAGAGAATAGTTTATTATAAGTCGGCTGTAGTGCCCGCCACCGAAAGGTAAAGGCGGGTGATAATGTTTTAGACGTTCTCGTAAAACATTCAGAACATAATCGTTGGACTTCTAGGACTTTTTTTAAATATTTTGAAATCGCAACTCACGACGGCTGCCATAGCCAACTGGCTTTAGAAAACACACAAAAAATGGCTATAATCTGGTCAATTTTACAGATATTCTGCTCAAACATGATCTGGCGGTAGCTCAGGTTAATTCGCAACACGTAGTCTGAGCACGACTTATCGCTCTAGATCTTTGCTCCAGATTTTACCGTCGTGTTCAAGCCGACCTTGTTCGTCAAAGTATTTCGCAAATCACTGACGAAATCTCTTTGAAACGTAGACAATAAAATTCAAGATGGCCGCCACAGTAGCCAACACAGGAGTGGCAATTACCAAAGTGTGGATCCACACAAACTGTACAAAAAAAGTGAATCCAAAGATGAAACTTAAGAATAATTTCTGAATACTATTCATCAGATAAGGAGCTTATAGTCTATGATAGTAACTAATACACACAAATGTGTACAATTTAATTGGTAGTAGGTATGAAGACCACAATGCAGTGCAAAATACAGACTGAGCATGTGCATTGGTAGCTTTATGCGCTTGTGCATGCAAAAGTCATTTTCAAAGTTTTGCCAAGACAACGTGACCACAGGCAAAATGCATTCCAAGCGATAAGTAATTTAATAGATTAAATTTATTTTTGCGGCGGTGACATAAATGCTGCAGAAATATTTTCATTTTCAACTTGCAACAAAATTTGTGACGATGAGAAATTTCAATTGTGTTCAACCTCCTAATTTCTGAATGTTTCATGTGTTTTTCATAAGCAAATTAAAGATTGTTTTATTTTTATTTCAGCGTTCGCATGACACTTCAAGCCAGAGATTCTAATACGCCCCAACCGACAGTCCGACCCCCTCTGAAGAAGAGAAAGTCAGAGGTTTGTCCAGCTGCTCTAATTATTATTTAGCCCTTTATCACTTTTATAGCAGTTTGATTTAACAGTCACCTTTTTTTTTTTCAGCCTTCTAAGAAAAAGCTACAACCTGCTGCCAAAAAACAAAACTATGAAATACAGGTAAGTGTTTCTAGACGCCCTCGGCTCTGAACTTATTGTGTGTGTTTATAACTGATAAGACTTCAGTCCAGAATGTGTTGCTAGTTTATTATCTGTTGTTTGAAAGCCCACCCTTCTGCTTATGAATTCAGCATTTTTGTTTATATTTTATAAACCTATAACCAGCAGAAAATCATCTAAAAAGCATTTATTTTGCTTGATTTGGTCAGTTGCATGAAGGCACTTGTGTAGCATTGTGAGTGGTCATGCAGTACTCGCTTTGAACACAAGGGGTCACTGTTTGTCTAATTTTAAACAACAGCACATTTATTACAAGTTTATGCTGTCCTATTCCTAAACTGTTTAAAACACCACGTGCCATGAGTAAGAAAGAAGTAACTTTTAACCATTAGAGATTTAGGGATACTTACCCTACATTTATTAGCATTAAAAATAACTTGTTTTTCTTGCCTTTCCTGTCAGATCAGTGATCTTTTCTGTGAGACTCTTTTATTTCAAGTTCAGTGTGTTTTGTTTTTCCAGAAGTGCTGGTTGGAGGATGGTGCAAGTCCATGCGTTCTCATTGAAACTCCCCACAAAGAGCTGCAGCCCTCTGACTCATCCAGTTTTAAACAGTACAGATTCAAGAATCTTTTCATCAAGGCCTCCCCGATCCCATGTCTCAGGTAAGAGGAGTCTATCTCGTCCCGAGTCGTCCTGTTTTGTTTGCCGGCCGATACTCCGCCTATTTGAGCTCGTTTACTTTTGAATTGAACACTTGATTTTAGTCAAGTGTGAGTTGATCAGGTTTCAGTGCAGGCAGGTCCCTGATCCGTTACTGCGGTCTGTTAAGTGATTAGCTATTGTCTTTTAATCATAGGAGTGAAATGAGAAACCATTCAAACAAATAAAAAGATCCACTCTTAAGTCGGCAAAAGGTTAAAGTTGTTTTTTTTTGTTTTGCAGCTGGGCAAGTTCAGACGATGTATGGATAAAAATGCTCAACAAGGAGCTGAAGTATGTTCACGATAAAGGCTACCTGCAGCGGCACCCCAAGCTGCAGCCCAAGATGAGGGCGATCTTGTTGGACTGGCTCCTGGAGGTGGGTTGTCGCAAAGAACTCAATTTGGTTTCAGTTTTTTTCAGCTTTTAATTAAATTTATGCACAGTCGGCGCAGGAAAACTGAAAATGTCTGCGTCTTTGTGCAGGTGAGCGAGGTGTACAACCTCCACAGGCAAACGGCGTACCTCGCCCAGGACTACTTCGACCGCTTCATGCTGACCCAGGAGGACGTCAGCAAAGATCTCCTGCAGCTCATCGGCATCACGGCGCTCTTCATCGCCTCAAAGATAGAAGTGAGTCTCACCATCACGTGCACTCGACTCCAAAACGAGCAGGTTGTGTTTTTTTGTTCAAACTCATCAGACGTATCTGATTACTATTATTTTTTCTTCCTTCAGGAAATCTATCCTCCTAAAATCTGCGAGTTTGCCTACGTCACAGACGGAGCGTGCGACATGTGGGACATCCAGCGCATTGAGCTCCAGATATTAAAGGTACGGAAACGTGTTTTAATGTTCACCATATTTCATTTGCACGTTGTACAGTCCACGCTGGTTCTGCGCACCTGCCTTTTTGTGTTGACGTGACTGTCCTCCTGCAGGCGTTGGACTGGAACTTGTGTCCAGAGACGCCCATCTCCTGGTTGAAGCTGTATGCTCAGGTGGAAGCCCAGAAGGATGGAGAGAACTTCCTGGAGCCTCAGTTCTGTCAGGAAACGTACATCCAGATTACCCAGGTGCCCCGTTTGTTCTTTATCGCAGTAAACCTCCGTAGATGGGACGCTGTAGCTGATCTTTGTCTCGTCTTTTTCAGCTGTTGGATCTGTGCATGATGGACGTCGGCTCGTTGGACTTCAGCTACAGTGTTCTCGCTGCTGCTGCCTTCTGCCACTTCTCTTCTTTTGACGTTGTTCATAAAGTCTCAGGTTTGTTCTCCTTCAGTGTCGTTCCCCCGTTTTTTGTTCCAATGTTTGAGCTGAGAACAAGTTTCTTCATGTTCTTCCCGTTTGTTTTTCAGGCTTGACGTGGGACGGTGTTTTTCCTTGTTATCAGTGGATGAGTCCCTTCATGGAGACGCTGCGTTCGGAAGACGAACCTCAACTCAAGAACTTCCCCAAAGTGAAAAGTGACGACAGACACAACATCCAGACACACGTGGCCTATCTGGACCTGCTGGTGAGACGGAGGAATAAAACACTTTTCAATGAGATTAAATTTGTCGTTTATCTTGTGACTAAACTATACATCTTAAAACGGTATTTATTGTTGAAAGCGTTTTTTTTTTTCCCCTAGTTCCTAACAAAGACAAATATTTAGGTTTAAAATCGAAAAGCTAATTTAGGCGAAACAAATTATTAGTTTTTTAATTGACTCATAAATGCCAAAGTGCACGGAGCTAAAATGGAGAGCGTGGCTGTCGTGGATTAATTAACACATACATTAGTCCCTCGTTTATTGCAGGGGTTACATTCCAGACCCCCCCGCCCCGTGCAATAAGTGACAGCCAGTGAAGTAGCGACGTTGTATTTATTTTAGTATTTATTCATATTAAGGCGTTAAACTCTTGCATTGTTCTAAACTCTGAAGCCCACGTCATTTTACCAACATGCGTACGGTACTGGATCTGTAGCTACTACATTTTATTCTCCAGAACAGCAGCAGCTCGGTTCTGCTTCGGCAGACTTACCCTGCCGGTTCTGGTCGGCTCTCTGGCTCGCGGTGGTCCCGGTCCATCTGGCGCCTCCCGCTCGTAAGTCCTTGTGGGCCGGCATGCAGCGCTCAGATTCACCGATGAGTCTGGAGGTCCGGTTCGGTGTCCACTGGGTGCTGAAGTCACTGTGAACAAGAACCAAACTTTTTGAGCTCAGTATTTACCCAATTTACTTCTACCGTATTTCAGCAGAAGGCAATGGGGCTTCTGGGAAATGTAGTCGTTTTGAGTGGTGATGCAGTGTAGGCTTATTGAGAGAAAACTACAAAATGGCGGCGCCTGTCCAAAGTATTTTTTTTTTTTCCCCGTTTAACTTTTTACTGTACCGTGTCCAGTACTGTCCCAGTCACATGAGTAATATTAAAGTTGACAATCGTGTACAATTTATTTTATTTTTCTCGTGTACAATCTCACTTTGAAAAACCGCAAAATAGCGAGTTCGCAAAAGTCAAACCACGAAGTAGTGAGGGACTACTGTACATCATTTGCAACACATTGCACAGCATCTATGAAATTAATTTTGGTTTTGAAAGGCCATCTTGGACGGTCGTCAAACACACTATAATTCTTCAAAGCGTTAAACGTGTTTGTGGATTTCTTTCTCCGTGTCCAGCATTAAACTCGTGTTTTCCGTCCTGCAGAGGAAAGCTCAGGAGCGTCAGGTTGACGCCCCAGATTGTCAGCTGTCGCCTGTTGCCGTGGGAACAGTCCTCACCCCGCCCAGCAGCGCAGAGAAATCTGTTAGTCCCTGAAGAGATGCTGCCAGCAGGACGCGCTACCTCGATCTCACTGAAAAGGACGCCATCTTGGCAAACGACAGACCAAAAGTTTTTCTTTTTATATTTATTTTAATTTTTTTCATTGCTTGTCAACACTAAGCTCAGAGTTCTGGTAAAAGACGGGACCAGTCGATGAAAACTTTCAGTCTGATTCTTCACTGGGAAATCTTTTTGTATTTTCTTTTGAGATTTTCTTATTTTTTTAACTCCAGTGCTCAGACTGATTTTTATTTTAAGTATTTTATGAAGTATTATATTGGTCTGAACTAGCTGCAGCTGTCTGTAAAACTAATGTTTTACCGGACCGACCTCTGCGTGGTCATGAGGTCTAAACCCGGCCGATCCGATCGCCTCGTTTTCAGCACGGTTCAGGTTCGTGAGGAAACTCCAGACCTGGGTGGCGTCACTTGGGAATCTCACTGGTGCTCTTAAAAACCGAGGCGTGGATGCTCTCGGATAGCGCTTCAGTTGCTTCTCAAGAAATGATTTTTATTTTTTAATGAAAACCCAACGAAAATGAACTCTTTTATAAATTACAAAGCATTTCATCGCCACTTGGGAATGATTTCGTTATGACACGCATGTGCTTTCGTGCACCTGATCTGCTTGTGGCTCATTTCCTGTTTTTTTTTATTTTTTTTTTATCAACTTTTGCAGCTTGTTTGCAAATTATTATCGTGTTGTTACATTCCTGAAAAACTTGACAATTGTGCAAAGATGAATTTGCGATTTCATTTTAAGTGCTTGTATTTATTAATAAGCCTTAGTATGTAAATAGAAAAATCTTCATGTGTAAAATCCTTCATTAACTGAGCTCACTGCCAAAGGCAAACGGCTATTTATGAATTTCTTTTCCTCCCGTAACACCTAATGAATTACAGTTTTGCATTAAATGTACATTCGCCTGTATTTAGTGCCTTTTATCTAGAACAGAGAGACACCATACATTTACTTAATTTAAGCTGGAGTGAGCCTAACGGAGGAAATAAAACCAACCTGTGACTGTAAACACCTGCAGTGAACAAAAACCATGTGAGCTGTGTCGATGTGAACGAATGTTTTGTAAATATAGTAATTCATAAATGTATTTTTTTTATATATTGGAATGATTTAAATAAATGAGGAATGAATTGTTCTACTGTTTCTGTTGTTTCTTTAAATATGAAGGTCAAGATTCTCAGTCGTCCAGGTCATGGTCAATTCAAAAGTAAAAAAAAAAAAAAAAGTCTGAACTCTGCCCTGTCGGGCCGAAAGCGCCACCACAAAGACGGAAGGGAAGGAACAGGAACACGTCAAACAGCTCCAAACCTGTGGATATCCTAACTGGACTAAAGAAATCCAAACAAAACCACAGAACAGAGAAATATGGAAACCCGTTTCCTCCAATGACAAGAAAACGTCCAGTAATATATGTCTTAATTTCAACTTTCAAAGTCCAAATTTCAATTTTCAAAGTCAAATTTTCACCATTCAAAGTTTGACTTTGAAAGCTGAAATTTTTGAGTCGAAAGTTGAACTTATGACTTAAAGTCCAAATTATGATTTTGAAAGTTAAAATTTTAATTTTGAATGTTGAAATTTTGACTGAAAGTCCAAATTTTGACTTTGAAAGTTTAAAATTTTAATTTTGAATGTTGAAAATTTGACTGAAAGTTTAAATTTTTATTTTGAATGTTGAAATTTTGACTGCAAGTCCAAATTTTGACTTTGAAAGTTGAAATTTTGACTTTGAAAGTTGAAATTTTAATTTTGAGTTTTGAAATTTTGACTGAAAGTCGAAATTTTGACTTTGAAAGTCGAAATTTTGACTTTGGAACTTGAAATTTTAATTTTGAATGTTGACATTTTTACTGAAAGTTGAAATTTTGTCTGAAAGTCGAAATTTTGACTTTGGAAGTTGAAATTTTATATTTTGAATCTTGATATTTTGACTGAAAGTCAAAATTTTGATTTTGAAAGTTGAAATTTTGACTTTGAAAGTCGAAATTTTGACTTTGGAAGTTGAAATTTTATATTTTGAATGTTGAAATTTTGTCTGAAAGTCAAAATTTTGACTTTGAAAGTTGAAAT